GAGGGATTGCTGAAGAGTCAATGAGTCGATGCAATCAGCTGGTTTTCCTTAGATAGAAAACTTTGAATCAATCTGACTGGATGATCTGGTGACTTTAAAGTGCCTTGAGATGACAGCGCACATTTTATACCAAAAAAAGTCTGATATGATAATAAAAAGCTCTACTAATGCAGAGAAATGAGCCCACAGCATGATGCTACCGCCACCTTGATTAACAGATGCTACAGAGTTCTGGGCTCATCCAGACGTCCGTCTAATCAAACAGTTCAATCTTTGGCTGTGAAATGTTAACATTGGAGCAGATACTTCTGTCTCTCATCCTCCCACCTTTATAAGACACTAATGACGTGGTGCATCCTGAAGATCAAACATCTTCCTCCTAAGATCGTCTCTGAGTTCCTGAACTATTGTTTACTAGTTCAGAATGCCTGTAAACTTGTGCATCCAGACTCTTTTAAACCAATCTTCCTCCTATTTCTATATTTTTTTGTGTGAGACGGCCTCACTGACGTGTAGTTGGGGTGCACGGCGTGAGCCATGTCTGCGCTGATCATGAAGGACTGCGGCGCCGCCTGCTGGAAGGCGGTGAGGTTGGAGGCGGAGGCGGCAAGTCGGCTAAGGATGAGCTCCGTCAGGTTGGACTGCGCTCCCTGGGCGCTCTCGGATCCCACCTGCAGCAAACAGCTCAGACTTTACGTCCTTCCTCCAGGTGGTTACCGACCTGAGGGCGTCTCCTCTCACCTCCTCATTGTCGTACAGGGTGATCATTCTGACGTTTGGATCCTCGGACAGAGAGGCTCCGCCGCACGACTGGATCAGCCCCTGAAAGGCGGAGCAGACATGAGGAGGAAGACCTGCTTCTCTCTTATTTCAGGATGTCGGTGTGAAGCAGAGCTCAGTCGGCAGAGAGAGCTGTCGGCATGCAGACTGACCTGCAGGGCGCAGTAGCAGCTGTGGAGGTTATCCAGACGAGGAGAATAGATGAACTCCTCGTAAACTCCTCCTAAAGCCTGAACATGGAGCAGAAACTTCACATTTCTGGTTTATAGCAGCTTCAGACACATTAAACGATCATTTTCAGGCAGCTTTGATCAAACTGCTCTTCCTGAAGCCTAAAATGATTCAGTCAGGATCTCCGTCTCCACGGTAACTGACAGGAAAGTGTAAACTCACCGCCGGCTGCGTGTCGGTCAGACACAGCTCAAAGTCCAGCAGAGCGTCCGGCTGAACGCCGAGCTCCGAGCACAGGACCTTCACCAGAGCCGGGTGGTGCTTCTCCGCCTGGACGCAGACACAGAACAGCTGTCAGACCCGGATCCAGATGTGACAGAGCTCCATCAAGAGCTCAATATGTAGTTATATCAAACCATAAACTAGGAAGGAAGGAAAGAAGGAAGAAAGGATGGATGGAAGGAAGGAAGGAGAAAAGGAAGGGAGGAAACAAGGCAGGATGGGAGGAAGGAGGAAAG